TGAAGACAGAATTACGAGCGCACACCAGGTTCCCATGATTTGCTACCGACGGAGCGAAGAGGGCCAAGCGGAGGTTGAGGGACGCTTGACGGGGAGAGCCTCGCGTTTCCGGGCGCGACGGTCCCGCGATCGCGAATCTGCAACTTCCTGGGCGGGGTGGGCTGCGGGGACCCTGTCGGCGACCAGTGGGCGATTGGGAAGCGATGGATTCCCCCCCTGAGCCTACAGGCGAACCTAGGTGAAGGTCACATCCTTCAAGAAAACTCAAGAACATGAGACCCTCCACCGGCCAAAGCACCCAAACCCTCAAGTCATTCGAGGGCGCCCTCCCCCAGGATGCACAAGAGCACCCAACAAACAAACAAGCAAGCACGAAGAACTGCAGGGCACCCTCCCCGAACCGACCACGGTCTTATGACTCGGTCTGACTGTACCCCTCCTGAGAATCCTGCCCCTCCCCCCTCCAGCGTGCTCAACAAAAACTTTAAAAAGACGGAGGCATCCTGCCGCTCTGAGAGCCCAGAGGGCCGCTTCCGGGCCAGGAGGCATCCAGGCACGAACGGGGAGGAAACGCCCAGAGTTGGAGGTTTGCAATCCCAGATCTCCCCAACTTGGCCAAGCGGCGCGCCTGGGGGGAAGTGAGAAGGGGCGGGCCTTCTCAGAAGGCTCGGAAGTCCCCTGGCCTTCTGAGAAGTTTTCTAAGCCGTCCCAAAACACAGACACCCTCTCAGAAGGCGCGACGGCTTCTGAGAAGCCCCGCCGCCTTCTGCGAAGGCCTTCTCCTTCTCACTTCCCAGTCGGTCGTTGCCGATGGAAGGCTTGCAATCCCAAATCTCCAACGATGTATAATTGGTTCAATCCTGGCGTCTTTCCGTGCGGCCTGCAGGGTCCAAGGCCCAGAAAATCGGGCCCCAGGACCCTCAAACATGGACATCCGGGGCTCAAGCCTGCCCTGGGGGCAGGGGTCGGGACCTCTGGGGCCGCGGATCGAAAAACACAGACGGCGGCCGGCCCAGGAGGACGTGAGCAGGGGCGTCGAAGGCACGGAACACTTCTCGGAACACTTCTCAGGGGGCCGGTGTGCTTCTGAGAAGCCCCGCCGCCCTCTGAGAAAGCAGTCTCCCCTTATCACTTCCCCCCTTCGCTCGCCGCCGAGAAAAAAATAGATCTGAAGATGTGGGTTTTTGTAGGGAGAGGCATGTCTGGAGGATGACTGGGACTGGCACCATCACCTGCGGTTTTTTCCCCTCCTGAATCACCCCCAGTGGAAGCAAGTGCCGACACTTCTGTTGCGCACGGCACTCCCCCGCGTTGCCGACAGCATTGGAGGTCAGCTGCGCGCATGCTCGCTGCGCCCATCGTGTATCCAGGGCCGCGTACAGCACGAGTCCTCCCAACCAGAGCAGTGGAGGCAATCTCCAGGAGGCAAGCGCGGATGGTGTCGATGATCCTCAGAACGTGTGTAGCCGCCAACCTGTGCTTGTCCATCGGAGCCCCTCAGTACGACGCAGGCGGGGTTATGAGGACCGGCACAGGCTGCGTTCCATCGGCGGAACTGAACGGGGCAAACACGCACTGGGATAACACATGAGCGACGATCAAAAACGGGTCTTACGCGAGATGACATAGCGCCCTTGCGCGGTGGCCTACACGGGCCGCCAGCGCGTTGCGCTACGCTGGAAGCGAGGGCGCTCACGCGCGACCTTACACGAGCAGCTTACGCGCCAATGTCGGCGCAGACGACCCCGTGTTGTTGCGTCGCTAACATGTGTTGAGGATCATCGATAGCGGTGTTGGTGCCAACCGCTGAGCCAGCGACGGCGGCGGGCCGAGGAGGGATCCAGACGGCCTGGGCACCGAACAGAAGCACGACACGTTGGGAGCCCTGCAGGGCACCGGGGTTCGAAAACGGCCCGCGGAGGCTGACAAAGGCAAACAAGACGCTCGAACCCACCGCCTCGAACTTCCCCCCCCGCCCTCCTGCTGGCCAGAGCAGAATCAGCGCTGGGCCACCTCAGACCCCCAACCGGCTCCAAAGCTGGCGAGGCCCTCTCTGAGACACGTGCCGCCTCGGTCGGCTGCGTCAGCCCAATCAGGCAGCCTTGGTTCGGACGCCTGCCCTCAGAAGGGGAAGCGGCCGCCGACGACCGCCTTGACCCCGGAGAAGAGCACGAGGCCAGCGGCCCAGTTCTCGGCGATGATCGCCGGCAGGAAGCCGCCGATGCGGGAGTTCGTCGCGGCGGTGTAGCCGAGCGCGAACTTGACGCGGCCGTACGCGCCAAGCAGAGCGGTGAAGACCACCACTGGGCCGAAGACGCAACCGGCAAGCACTGTGTTGATGAGCACCATCGGCATCTGCTCGTCGGTGTTAAAGGCGCCACGCTGAGCGCGGTTGAACTTTCCGACCCAACCGGTGTTGGCCATCAGCACGTACGGCGCGTCCGTCTCGCCCGAGGGGGTCATGATCTTGTACACATGCTGGTCTGGGCGGTCCACCCGGGCTGCGGCCCTCATGGCGTTCGAATTGACCGCCATGCGCGCCCGGCCCAGGCCGATGATGTAGACGGCGAGGTAGACGTAGCCGAGGTCGTGGTCGTGGAGGAAGGCAAACTTGGTCTCCAGAGCGTCCTTCATGCCAAGCAGGCGGCACGCGAAGTACGTGGAAATGGCAAACACGCACTGTGCGATCGGTATGGCCCCGAAGATCATCTTCATGTAGCCCGCCTGCGCCTTGGCCGCCATATCCTCGTCCGCCGGGTCGTCCTCCTTCCGTGGCGTCAGGCCCTGCCTGTCCCGGTTCTTGAATTCGTCCTCCTCAACCATGGGCGTGTCCATGGATATTGACGGCGAGGAGGACGAGGACGACGAGGACGACGAGGACGACGAGGAGGACGAGGATGTGGACCTTTTCCTGGCCGTGGCTCGCAAAACTGCCGACTCAAGGCAGAGCCTTGAGCCCAAAAAGGCATCAGCAATGAAATTCGAGAGGACTAGTGACATCGATGAGCTGCGTGCATCTCCGATCGCACACGCGCAGGATCAGCCGGCATCGGATCGGGATATCGGATCGGATTGAAACGTGCAACGAATCGGGCTGCATCGGCACGACATCGAATCCCACCAGCCCTCTGGGCGTAGTTGATTTAACGATACCTTTCTTTCCTCTTCCAAAGCCACTCGGCCTCCCCCATCCCCTCCCTAGGTTTATGGGAGGGGCGGTTCACGATGTGTCAGAGGGTCTTTCTTCGCCCAAGATGACTCCTACAGGGCCTCCGATGCTCCAAGATGGTCTCCAAGATGACTCAAAGATAGCCGAGGATGGCTCAAGATCGCTTCCAGCATGCCTCCAAGCGGCCCCGAGAGGGCCACAAGGTTCCAAGTGCTCTCGGGGCCCCTCCAGGCCCCCCCAAGAGGACAACATCCGTAAACAACCTGAAGAACACTGATGCGTTGTTCCTGCTCGTCGTTTCGCTTCGGGGGCCCCTCTGAGGCCTCAAGATGACCCAAAGGTGGCCTCAGAGGGCCGCAAGAGGGGCCCAAGAGGCCCCCCAGACGGCCCCAAGAGCGCCCGAGGGCGCCCAAAGAGCGCCCCAAGAGGGCCCCAAACATCGTATTTGAAGGCCCGAGAGGGGACCCCCCTCCTTTCATCGATCGCCTCCAAGCTGGCTTCAAGAGTCCCTCAAGGGCTCCTAAGAGGGCCACAGAGGGCCCCCAGAGAACTCCAAGGGACCTAAGACGGCCCCAAGACGGCCCCCCAAGACGGCTCCGAGAGCGCCCAAAAGAGTGTCACCAGGGCCTCAAGAGGCGGTTTGCCTCCTCCTTCTCGTCCTCCTCCTTCTCCTCCTCCTCCTCCTGCTCTTCCTCCTCCTCCTCCTCCTCCTCCTCCTCCTCCTGCTCCTCCTCCTCCTTCTCCTCCTGCTCCTCCTCCTCCTCTCACCCCGCCGCGGGCCCCAGGCACGGCCCGAAGAGGCCATCCGAGGCCACCCGTTCATCCTGGTTGCCCGCGTGTGCCTCGTCGTCGCTTTTCCCGTCACTCTCGTGGGCAAAGTCTCTGAACAGGCTGGCGGGAATGTGCGAAGAGTGAAGAGTTCGAATCGTATCGACCGCGCCAAAATGCACAACAACGCCATGGAAATATCAAAGGGCATCGAACCCGCAGAAGAACGGAATCGACCCAGATCGAGTCGGTCGAAATCGGCATCGAATCGGATCGATCGGATCGACATGTAATCTCTACGTGAGGGTCTTTAGTAACCGCTCTTACTTATGATGGAAGCTACTTATTTTTGGTGTGGGCTCGTTGACGGATTGGGATCGACAACAATACTGGGAAAGCAACTTGTCTCCCACGGCGGCCACTGCTGGGGCTATGGATTCCCAGGAGTCCTAGAACCCCCTTTGAATTTCAAGGCACTCGCAAGATTCCTAAGGACGCATACGGGTTCGACAGGACCTGTAGGACTCCCTGAGGATTCTTAAGGACGCGTCGGGTTCCTCAGGGCAGGGCGAGAGGAGGGATATCGAGGAGGGCGAGGAGGGCGAGGAGGGGAGGGACAAGGAGGGGGAGGGCGAGTTGTTGTTTTGCCCGCCGAGAGCTTCGGGGGAAGGGAGTGGGCGCGGCAATAAAGACCGGCTGCGGCTACCCTGCACCAGAGAATGGCCCAGAAGGGCGAGAAGAAAAGCGGAAAAGGAAGGCACGAACCAGGAGCAGCCTGTGTTGCGGACGCCACCGCCCGCAGCACCCCTGTGGCCCACCGCGCCACAGCAGATGCGGACACGATTGCGGGGATGCCCCGATGTTGGACCTCCCCTGGGCCTCTGACGCAACAGCCTGCTGCCGGAAACTCCTGCTCAGTTCGGGTGTCGAAGCGGCGGCCCCGGCGACACGCGATGCACTGCAAGCGGATCACGAGTCGATCCACTCCTCGTGGCACGAGGCTGGGAAACGCTCAGGACGTTGACGCTGGGGAACAGGGACGTGGTTCGCGTTCGGTCGGGCATGTCCTCCTACAGGCGGATCTTGAAAGAAACGAGTCTTTGCTTTTAAAATAACCGTATCAAGGACACCATCAAGAGGGAGCACGAAGTATCGTCACCAGACCTTGCTGTGCCGTTCTTGGATAGTTCCTCCTTCAGAAGGACGTGCCCGCCTTCAGCTCAGCGTGCCACGCCGCGCCGCCGCGGGGCGGGCCAGCACCGTCGGCGCGGCAAGCCGAGCAGAGGCTCCCGACTGGAGCCGCCGCCCCCGCCGTGGAGCCTCGCACGCCCCCCGGCCGTCCGCCAGCCCTGCCCCCGCAGCCCCCACCACCGGAGGATCCAGAGGCGGAGGCCTGTCAGAGGGCAACGGCCAGTAAGAGGCCCGAGGCGAGTCTCCTCCTCCTCCTCCTCCTACTCCTCGTTCAGTCCCCCCCTCAGACGAAGCCAGGACGAGGATAACATCGGGTGAGGATAAATCGAAGAATCGCTGAGATCCAGCGGCTCTGGAGGATGTCTCGGGCGCCGCTGCCCTCCTAGAGCGTTCCAGAACGCTATGAGACCGTTCTTGACCAGATTTAATGAAGGGGCCCAGGGACACTCAAACAAAGACACTAACACTTTTCCGTCAGCGGCGAGGCGGCGAACTCCGCTCCAGCGAGAAGCTAGAAAAGGGCATTCACTAGCGAATTGGCGGGAGGGCAAAGAGAGGGGGAGAGGAAGAAAGGACGCTCAGACGTCGAAGAGTTCGACGATGAGCAGCCGGGGGGGGCAGCAGCAGCCAGGCGCGCAGGGCCAGAGCGCGCTGGACAAAAACACAAACGCAAATCCCAGGATCCCCCATACTTCCTCATATCTTCTTAATTCTCGTCTTCCCCTCCACTTCCCATAGTTTCCCGTACCGTCCTGGGGATCGGCGATTCTTTGTGTCTGTGTGTTGTTTCCCCGTCCTGATTTGACCTCGTCCCAGCCCCGTCCGTCCCCCCGGTTGAGCAGGGACCGATCGTCCGGGCATTCCTAACCACGGCATGCTCTCAGAACCCAATCAGTATGTTCTCAGAAACAGAGAACAAAGACCTTACAACATAAGCCCAAAGCGTGCCCTTTTTAAACAAAGAAAGTCTCAGCCAGAAATGGTCCAAGAACATCCCGCGCACGCCCCCAAAGGTTCCCGGAACACTCTCCCGTGGGCCCCTAAGGCAGGCCGGGACGCTGCCGCTTCGCCACTGCGCGACCCGGAGGCGCGCCGCCCCCGCGAGCGCCGGCCTGGCCGAGCATCCTGGGCCGGCTCTGGCCAGACCTCGGCTGCGCCGCCCCCGGGGTGCCGCCGCGCGCCGCCAGCGCCGCCGCCGCCGCCGCCGCCAACGCCGCCGCCAACGCCGCCGTCGTCGTCGTCGTCGTCGTCGTCGTCGTCGTCGTCGTCGTCGTGGTGGTCGTCGTCGTCGTCGAGGTCGTCGTCGCCGTCGTCGTCGTCGTCGTCGTCGTGGTCGTCGTCGCCGTCGTCGTCGCCGTCGTCGTCGTGGTCGTCATCATCGTCGTCGCCGTCGTCGCCGTCGTCGCCGTGGTCGTCGTCCCCCATTCGAGGTCGGCGGCCCCGGGGCTCGAGGATCCGAGGGTCCGAGGGTCGGGGCTCTGAGCTCGCCATCGCTCGGACGTCCATGCCCAGTGCATGTTTCGGTGCTTCGTGCGTGCTCTTGTGTTTTTTTTGTTTTGCAAGATGGTACCCAAGAGGCTCCTCGATGGTCCTCGCCGAGAGAGAACGCAAACGTCCGAGCAGTGCCAAGTGAGAAGGCGGAAGGATCGAGTTTCGGGGTTCCGAGGGTCCGAGGACTCGAGGTCCGAGCATCGCGGATTCGAGGGCTCGAGGGTTCGAGGTCCCAGAATCGAGGGTTCAGGATAGAGGATCGGCCTCCTTCGCCGTCGGCGTCGGTGTCGTCGAGGTGTTCTGGCCACGGCCGCCACGGCCGTCCCAGGCATGCTTTGATATGCTTTGTTCAAGAGGCTGCCTTCTTTATGTGTTGTGCTGTTTCTTATGCTCACTCTTTGAAGGCGCTGCAAGAATCAAAGGCGCCGCTTTCCACCCCGCAACGCTCCTCACGGTGGCAGGAACCAATCGGATGCAATTCACTCTGTGGAGCGTCGTGTTGCCCCCTCCTCCTCTCGTGGCCTTTCGCCAGAGATCCACCTCACGGAAGCTCTCGGAAGGCTCCAGAGGGCTTTCGGAGAGTCAAGGAGATGCCAAGAGATCCGAAGACTTGCTTAATTGAGGTCTTGCCTTGGAACCTCATCCCCAGAACTCCGGAGCGGTGTCTGTTGACAGTGTCGGTGCCCGTGCGGTCGTGATTTTTGCGCGATGCGGAGGGTCCGGGGTCGAAGTTGTTCAATATCGGATCCTGGTCCTCACCTCTGGGCCATTCTGGTGAGTTTTCACTTCGGATCAACTTCGGATGGTGCCGCGGCCAGGGCACGGCCCTCCAGAGGTAGGCCGCAGGAGAAAATTGGAAATTCGCGAAAATCCGACGACGACGTCGTCGTCGACGACGACGAGGCCGTCGCCGCCTCCTCCTTCTCCTCCTCCTCCTCCTCCTCCTCCTCCTCTTCCTCCTCTGCCTTCTAATCCTTACCATCCTCTTCCCCATCCCCCTGTTCCTCCTCCTCCTCCTCCTCCTCCTCCCCCGCCTCCTCCTCCTCCTCCTGCTCCTCAGCCTCCTCTCTTAGCATTCCCTACTCCTCGTCCCACTCCCACCGCTCCTCCTCCTCCTCCTCCTCCTAATCTTCTTCCTCCTCCTCCTCCTCCTCCGCCTCTTCCTCCTCCTCCTCCTCGTCTTCCTCCCGATCTCTCACCATTCCCTCCTTCTTCTCATTCTCCTCCTAAACGTGCCTCCTCTCCTTTGTCGCATCCACCTCCGCCTTCGCATCTTTACTCCTCTTTCGCCGCTTCCCATCTTCCCCCTGTCCGACCTACCTCCAACTGCCCTGGGCCCCGCTGAGCGAGTGGCTTGGGCCGGTAGGTGCCAAGCGGCGGGGCGCAGGACTTCACCCCGACGTCGTGTTTCGCCTGGCGGCTGCAGACCTAGACATCTACACATACCTGTATAGATATAATGTACATACAGATATATACACAAATACCTATACATATACATATATACACATAGCATTCCGACACTTTGGATCAGAATGAGGGGGCGGCGGCAAGGTCCTCAGCAAACTGTGAAGCTCTGACGAAACCTGCCGCAGGCGTCGTTCTATTTTTTGACAGAGCACACAACGAGCCCGCCGCAGGCGCCGATTTTTTTGTTCATTTCCACATGGGTTGGTAGCGGGTGGGTCGCAGGTTGCGTCGCCGGATGAGGCGGGGTGGTCGGTGAGTCAGGGGTGGGTCGCGGGCGGGTCCGGGGAGAAGACGACGACAGCACAATAACGCAACAACCATCCGCACCGCGCAACTCCACTTCAGCCATCCACCCAGGGATAGTGAATGAACGTTCGCCCCCCCCTCCCTCACTCTGATACATATATATATGTTTGTACGTACGTACGTATGTATGCATGTACGTAAGTATGTATGTATGTATGTATGTATGTATGTATGTATGTATGCATGTGTGTAAGTATGCTTGTACGTATGTATGTATACATAAGGTATGGACACTTGAATGTACAAAGATATATCAGTATGTGTCTCTGTTCTGGCTCTCTCTCTCTCTCTCCCTTCCTCCATCTCTCTCTCTCTCTCCTCCTCTCTTTCCCTCTCGGTATATCCATGTTGTCGATGCTCCATGTTTTATGCACATACTCATGTGTGTGCTCATGTATCTCTACATATACGTAGACACACGCCTGCCTCTCAATTAGATGCGTAGCTGCACGTGCATGTACTTATGGGAGTATGTATGTATATAACGATACATCTTAATATGTATCGTTATATACAGAAACATATACACATGCACACGCATATATACATACATATACAGGCAGATCCGAAACGTTGCCTTCAGTACGTAGTGGAACACTCCGAGGCCTCCTGCAGCTGTTCGTCGTACAGGGGCTCTTGGCTTGTAGGATTCTAAATGGCCCGGCCCCTCCCTCTGCCGAAGTATCATGGGGTTCCTGGGGTGTGTCGGCGCGCGTCGGCCAAGCTTTAGGGGCTGCAGAGTGGGCCAACGGGGCACCAAGAGCCTCCCAAGACGGTCCAAGAGTTTCACGAGTCGTCCGAAGACCGGTCCAAGACGCCCAAGATGCCTCCAGACGGTCCAAGAGGCCTCCAAGACGCCACAACAGGGCTCCAAGGGGCCCCCCGAGAGGGCACTGAGATGCGAAAATCATTAATTTCGTTACGTGCTTGTTTTGAGGATGTAGGCGTTCTCGCCTTTTCTAACCTCCCGACGCCCCAACACGGCCCAAGAGGCCCCCAAGCTGCTCCCAGACGGCTCAAAAGAGCCCCAAGACGGCCCAAGGCAGCCCAGAAAGGATCAAATAGAGAGAGAACACGAACTAAGAGTTCACGCCCTCCGAACTTCGATGACCCCCGAGCACGCGAGCGGGCCCCCCAAGAGGCCCCGCCGAAGGCCACTATATCCGCCGCCCCCTGTGGCTTCTCAAGGGTTCACGGCCTGCCAAATATCTGGCAAGTTGCTGCTTCTTGTCTAAAGGGCTCCTCGTGTGGCTTCGGCCCAGCCCGCCAGCCACCCTGAAAGCGCACGTCCCGTCGGTGTTTTCGCTTAAGTTGGCTTGAAGATGGCCTCCAAAACGGCCATGACGCCCTTCAGACGGCCGAGAAGACCCTACTAGAGCCCAACATGGCCCCAAGATGCACCCAAGACAGCCCAAGATGGCCTCAAGATAACCCAGGACGGCCCAAGAGGCACCCAAGAGACCTCGAGGACGGCCCAGAAGGCCTCCAAGAGGTCCTCCAGGAAAGCTCGAACAGGCCAAAATCTAGCATTGTCCTTAGGAGGTTGAAGGTGTTTGGCATTTGCGGTTGTTCGTCCTTCCGACGGCCCATGACAGCCCACGAGGCCCCCAAGGTCGCCCCCAGAGCGCCCAAGGGGCCTCCAAGATGGCCCTGTGACCGACCGAAGCGGCCCCCAAGACGGCCCAATACCCCAAAGATGGCCTCCAAAACAACCCTGAAGCGCCCCAAGAGGGCCCCAAGACGGCCCAGAGTGGCCCCAAAGACGGCTTCCGACGGCGTCAGACGGGCCAGGAACGCCTTAAGACTGCCAAACAGGCCCTCAAGAAGCCATCTAGGGCCCACCAAGACGCCCCCAAGAAGCCTCCAAGAGGCCCCTTGGAAGCTCCCAGAATGCCCCAAGAGTGCCTCAAGAGGCTCCCAAGAGGCGTCCTCCTCCTCCTCCTCCTCCTCCTCCTCCTCCTCATCCTCATCCTCCTCCTCCCTCCCCTGATCCTCCCCCATCATCCTCCCCCAATTGTTCCGCAGAGAGTGTCCAGAGCGGCTGGGGAAATATGTAGTCAGATAGCTTGGCAAAGCTGGAGCCCAACGTTTGGCCACTGAGGCGCTTTTCAACAAGGCACGAGGCGGCGGTGATTCCCCGTAGGCGTCTTCGATCCGCCGCCCCCCTGCGGCTTGCCATATGTATCCGCCGCTCTCTGTGGCTTGCCACAGGGATGCACGGCGTGCTGGATGTCTGGGAGGTTCTGGACCTGTGCCAAAGAACTCCTACGCACTGGGGCTGCGGCCCAGCCCGCCGGCCACAAGGCGAGCTCAGCAAAACATACCTCTCATTGGTCAAATCGCCTCCAAAACGGCTACAATGGCAAGATATGGCCCCGACGATGGTCCCACGACGCATCCAAGACGGCCAAGGAGGCCACGAGAGATAACAACATGGCATACATATGTCTCCAAGACGGCCCCAGTTGCACTCAAGGCGGCCGAAGATGGGATCAAGATGGCCCAAGATGGCCCGAGAAGTCCCGAAGAGACGGCCAAGACAACCCATGTGGCCTCCAAGACTACCCGAAGAAATCAAATTCAAAGGTTGGCTGTTGGGCCGTTTCGGCCTTCCGACAACCCGAGACGGCCCAACAGACCCTCTAAGATCGCCCCAAGATCGCTGCAGAGGCCTCAAAGATGCTCCCATGACGGCCCAAGAAACCCCTAAGACGGCCTCAAGAGCGGCCAAAGACGGCCCAAGAGGCCTGCCAGGCGCCCCAAATGGCCGCAAGATGTCTCCCAAACGGCCGAATGTGCACCGAAGACGGCCCAAGAAGCCCCCAGGAGGCCTCCAAGGCTGCCCAAGAGGCCCCCAAGAGGACGTACAGGAAGGCCCGAAGGAGCCACAATCATTGAGCGCTCATTTGTTTGCAGGCAACTGTTGCTTCTTTTCCGGCTCACCGACGGCTCAAAGACGGCCCAATCGGCCCCCAAGATCGCCCCCAAGAGCGCCGAAGAGACCTCCAAGATGGCCCAAGAGGCCCCGAAAGCCGACCGAAGCGGGCCTCAAGACGACCCGAGAGGGCCCCAGGATCGCCCCGAGAGCATCCAAGAGGTCTCCACGATGGCCCCACGACGGCCCAAGAGGCCCCTAACACGACCACGAGACGGCCGAAGAGGCCTCCAAGACGCCAAAGGTGGCCTCCAAAACAGCCCTGAAGCATCCCAGAAGGACCCCAAGACGGCCCAGAGAGGCCCCCAAGTCGGCTTCCGACGAGCCAGGAATGCCCTAAGACAACCACAGAGGCCCCCAAGAAGCCCAAATGTCCCCAAGTGGCCAGAGGAGGCCCTCAAGAGGCCTCCAAGAGGCTCCCAGGAAGCTCCCAGGAGGCCCCAAGAATGACCCTGGAGGCTCCCAGGAGATCTCCTCCTCCTCCTCCTCCTCCTCCTCCTCCTCCTCCTCCTCCTCCTCCCCTTCCTCCTCCTCCTCCTCCAACGCCATCCTCCTTCTCCTCATCCTCCTTTTCCTCCCCCACATGTTCCCCGAAGGGCTTCCGCAACTGCTGAGGGGACACATGGTCCAATAGCTTGGCCAAGATCTTGCCAAACGTTTGGCCACTGAGGGGTATCCTAAAAGGCAGGGGGGCGGCGATTATTTGCCGTACGCGTCATCGATCCGCCGCCCCCATGTTGCTTGCCACAGGGTTGCACGGCGTGCCGAACGTTCGGTAGACTTGACCTAATGGGCTAGTGTGTCGAATGGGCTTCGGCCAAACTCGCCAATCACCCGGAAAGACGCGTGAAAGAGATCTCCCCTCGGTTTCCTGAGTCATAAAGACCCGTGAAATTCCCAATTCGTCGGCCTTCCCGCTCCAGACGGCCCAAAGATGGTTTCCAAGACGGCCAAGATGGTCTTCAAGACGGTGACGATGGCCCCAAGAGAGCCCATGACGGCCCCAAGACGTCTCCAAGACGGGCCGAGATGCCCCCGAGATGGCCAAGGATGGCCAAAGATGGCCCCAAGATCGCCCATAAAGGCCCAAGAAGGCTCCAAGTCGGCTCAAGAGGCCTCCAACATGAGCTCCAGGAAAGCTCGAAGAGGCCAAAAACATGTATAGCCTGCGAGTTTTCAAAGACTTCTGGCGTTTTCGTTTTTCCTGCTTCCGGACGGCCCAGAGCGGCCCCAGAGGCCACCACGATAGCCTCAAGAGCGCCCCGGGGTTCTTCGAGATGGCTCCCTGACGGCCTACGAGGCCCCCAAGACGGCCTCACACGGCCCCAAAACGACTCAGGAGACCGCCAAGACGCCAAAGATGGTCAACAAGACGGCCCTGCAGCGCCCCAAGAGGGCCCCAAGTCGGCCCAGAGAGGCTCCCAAGACGGCGAGGAACGCTCCAAGACGGTCCACGAGGCCCCCAAGAAGCCCCCGAAGGCCCCGAAGAGGCCCAAGAAGGCCCCCAGGAAGCTCCCAGGAGACCCCAAGAATGACCCTGGAGGCTCCCAGGAGATCTCCTCCTCCTCCTCCTCCTCCTCCTCCTCCTCCTCCTCCTCTGTTTCCTGATCCTTCCCCTTATCTTCCCCCAGGTGTTCTCCGAAGAGTTTTCACAGCAGCTGGGGGAGTCCATAATCCGATTCCTTGGCCACGCTCTTGCCAA